GTTAACTTCATCACATCATTTCTACAATTAATTAATGCATTTGAAGTTGTTAGGAATGGTCTGCTTAAAATAACAGAAATTTACGCATTAGCATTTAATACAGGTTGAGTATCCAAAATTATAAAATCTACGAGAAAATAAAACTTATCAACATGTACTAAAACGTTCTCCACCATACCCCTCGGTATTTTTACTGATCGGTCAGCTAATTGAAGTGTAACCGAAATGGGTTTTAACTCTCCTAACCTTAATTGTTCATATACTGAATAAGGGAGCAAGTTCACACTAGCTCCTAAATCTAATAAAGCCTGTTCAATTTTGTGGTTACCTATAACACAAGAAATAATGGGGCAACCTGAGTCTTTTTATTTTGGTAGAGTCCTATGTTGTATGATGGAAGATACCTGCTCAGTCAAAAATACCTTATTTTGCACATTTAATTTCCTTTTAACAGTACATAATTCTTTCAAAAATTTTACATAAGAAGGTATTTGTTTAATGGCATCCAACAAGGGAATATTGATTTTCACCTGCTTAAAATCTCTAACATATCATTATGCATATAAGGTTTGGTAGAAGTAAGCAATCTCTGTGGGAATGGTGCAGGTATAACATACTTCTCAGACTTATTAATTTCAGAGTGATTAATTTTATCACCACTCTCCGTAGGTTTTGAAATATTTTCAAATTCTTGAATTTTAGAAGGAATAGTTTTATCAATTTCTTTCCCACTACAGAGTATGGTAATAGACTTTACCTACTCATGTACAGTATCAGAAATGTCAGTTTCATTCACAAAAAATTGACCCTATGAATTTGGTTGTAGTTGTGCTGGGAACTTACCTTTTTCTTGATGACAAGGGTCAATAGTCAACTTAGTGATTGCACTCCTAATATCTTCAATAGCCTGAGTAGTTTGTCTGTTAAAATTTTTCTATTGTCTGTTGTAATTTTCTTGCTTATTGTGTGTGTTCTTGATATCATTTATAGCCTGTGTGGTTTGATTCATAAAATTTTCCTGACTCTGCATCATTTGTGACAATGCCTCTTCAAAATTTCTCTTAGAAGGTGGAACAAAGGGTGCAACATTGGAGGAATTTTATTGAGGTGGTTGTGATACATGATTTTCATTCCTCCAACTAAAATTTGGATGATTCTTCCACTCCGGGTTGTATGTGTTTGAGTAAGGATTATTGTAAGGTTTTGAAAAAGTATTTGCAGCATTTGCTTGATCATGCAAGACTTCTTTTAAAATAGGTAATGTTGAACATTCCTTCATAAGATGTCCAGGGATCTCACAAATACTACACACCTCCTCAACAGGCACTGTGTCAACTTGATTAACCTTTTTATACTCCATAGCTTCTACCCTCCTAGCTAAGGTGACAATTCTAGCTCCTAGGTCATCTTCTTCT